CATGTGGGTGACCCCTTATGCACGTGCCACGTGCAATACGAAGAAGTGTCAGTTTTGTAACAATTGCAATATCTCGGTAACTACTCGGCCGATTGCGCTGAAACTTGGCATACAAATACGCACCCACCGGGCAATGTATATCCATGTGCCAGAGATGGGGTGCTGCCGCACGTGCGCACGTGCAGGGCAGGGGTCGTTTCCAGATCTCGAGAACGGCTGGACCGATGGCGTTCAAATTTGGTACACGGTTAGGGACCAGTTAGAAGGGTGCCGTGCACAAGTCAGTTGGGACCCATATTGCACGTGCGCACGTGCAGGGTGCCGCTGCCAGATCTCGAGAACAGCTGGACCGATGGCGCTCAAATTTGGTACACGGTTAGGGACCAGTTAGAAGGGTGCCGTGCACAAGGCAGTTGGGACCCATATTGCACGTGCGCACGTGCAGGGTGCCGCTGCCAGATCTCGAGAACGGCTGGACCGATGGCGCTCAAATTTGGTACACGGTTAGGGACCAGTTAGAAGGGTGCCGTGCACAAGGCAGTTGGGACCCATATTGCACGTGCGCACGTGCAGGGTGCCGCTTCCAGATCTCGAGAACGGCTGGACCGATGGCGCTCAAATTTGGTACACGGTTAGGGACCGAAGTGTGCCGTGCACAAGGCAGTTGGGACCCATATTGCACGTGCGCACGTGCAGGGTGCCGCTTCCAGATCTCGACAACGGCTGGACCGATGGCGCTCAAATTTGGTACACGGTTAGGGACCAGTTAGAAGGGTGCCGTGCACAAGGCAGTTGTGACCCATATTGCACGTGCGCACGTGCAAGGTGCCGCTTTCACATCTCAAGAACGACTGGACCGATTGCAGTCATATTTGGCACATCGCTATAGACCGGTTAGTAGGGTGCCGTGCACCGAGAAAGTTGTGGCTCTGCGCGTGCTCACGCGCACGTGCACACCCCTCCGTCATATCTCGGGAACGGACTGACCGATTGTAATGAAATTTGGTGTGTGGCTGGATGCTGACCGTGTATGAGTTTTTCTCAGTCGACGAAGGTGAGGTAATGCACGTGCGCACGTGCACATCCCATAGTTCCAGCTAAAAATGGGACACGCCGCCTTCAATAAAAAGCTGGTGTGCGATTGAAGGATAACAAAGTGTCGTGACTGTGTGCCTCAGAAGGGTGTGAATATGCACGTGCCACGTGCACACCTCATAATAACGGCTTAATAACGAGCAGGCCCGATATTGATCGAAGTTGGCTTACGATTAGGGGATAACAAAGTGCATTGATGTTGTGCATCAAACTATGGGTGGGAATATGCACGTGTGCACGTTCACACCCCATTTTAAAGTTAACAAAACTGGCAAGCCGATTTGGATCAAACTTGGCGTGCCATCAGGGAATAGCAAGGTGTACTGATTGTACGCATCAGAATGGCTGTGAGCATGCACGTATGGAGGTGCACAGCCCATTTTTTACAGCTGAAAAACTGGCAGGCTGATGATGATCAGATTCTTATTGTATCGTGAACATAAGGTCATTTTTAACACCATAATATTCATAATAATGCTCAAACTAGCCATAGCTCATCTTCACCGAAGTGATCAGATTCGGGCTATAATCGATAACTCAGCTCGCTCAGGCTAGAGATTACGGTCAGGTCAGGTACATGCCTACTTTACACTTGCGCATATTCACATCCCACCTTATGCTTAAGAGTGAAGCGGTCTGGTAATAATATAGGTACTTTAGTGTATGCGTTGTGGGAGAGGCATAAATGTGCACACTCATAAGATTTGTATCCTATACGCACAACCACCTACGCATGGGTGCCTCAGACTAATATTCGTGCTCATTAAAAAAAAACACACATTTGCTTACACAATTGTTAACCCGCTGGTGGCCTGAACTTGGAACTTGGCTGGGGGGGGGGGGGCGTTTTCACGCTCCCCCGTCTAACTCGATTCCTGGGCCACGTAGCGACACGCGGTAAGGGATATTCGAAAGAGCGTTAAAAATAATGACGGAAACACTTCAGTCATTTTTAGGTCAGGTCAAAAGTCAGGTCACTCGAGTCATCAAAAGTCAAATTAAGTCCATTTCAGTAATTAATTTTGGAAACTTTCAACGGCTAACTCGGAAACCAATAAACCTACAATGCCGCGGAAAAGCGCATTCGACAGACCTTTTCAAGGCCTTTCTAAATATTGCTCTCAGATTTGACATCAGATCAACGGCTAGCCTCCAGGGGGCAAAAACTGTCAAAATAGCCGTTTTCACGAAAAAATGTTTTTCGGGAATAACTCAAGGCCCACATTTCTTTTAAAGTGGCCCTCAAGACAGCCACTTTATTTTGGCAGCATCGTATTCCTCTCGTCGAGACGCGTCGAATCAACTATTTGTTGACCTTGAAAGGTTATTTTGAAAATTTGACCCCAGGTCAAGGTCATGACCTGACCGGAAAGGGTCATGTTGCATATCAGTCGATCCGTATCGTCGAGCTGAACACTTATGACATGTTTTCACCGCTCTAGCACGCCTCTATTAAAAGTTATAGCCAAAAAACTGCTGGCGACCGTTCATGACCTGAGATGACCTCAGCGGCACACAGAGGGGTTACATGCCAACCAGCAAAAACGCACGCAGAAAACGCATAGTGTAGCCAGGCCTTTACACAAAACATGCGTTTCTATTTTGTAAATTTATTTGCAATTTTGCTATTTGCTGTCAAATTAGGCAAGAAACGAAAGAATGTTTAAACTGAAGTGCACGTGACATTCAACAGCTGTTAAAGCATTTTTGAGAGTCGTTTTGAAAGTCACGAAAGGCAAGAGGCTGCTTTTTATTATTTCATGACAGTACGATGAATGATATTGTTTCTTTATATGCCATTAGTTACATTCTATAATGTAAGCAGATAAGTCTGTCGGCGAGCAGTGTAAATATGACAGTAAACAGTAAACAGTATGACAGTAAATATTCACGAAGATATTGGATCGAGGGCGACTCATTGTGCCGTCCTCGCTCGCCATAGAAACCACGATGCTTATCCTTAGAATCTGGAAAGAACTCGTGCGAAAAGAGGCCTCAAAAAGACTTCTTTTTGAATGCTTTAGTCCCAGAGAGGCATTTGTCGACGTGGTAAAAGCAGTCACGACACGAAGCTCCATCGTCAGAGATACCAGCTGCCCCAAGGGGCATGGATTCGCCCAAAGCTTGGAACGTATGTCAAGGGCCTTGTTTAGCCTGTTTGCAGGCAACATGGTGAGGGACATCAACAGCGCGATCCATGCCAAACGTGGAAACTGTGCAGCGAAGAAAACAACAGACGATAAGAGGCGTAAGCTATCCGGCATCAAGAAGAGCTAGAGCCTAGAGGTACTAGCACACACACGAAGAGGCGTGTGCGATCTCGCACATGTTGTCGAGAACTCAACTGAACTGTGGTAGTGCCTTCGTGCCTCGCCCTTTACCTATCCGGGCTAACCTCTGGAGATAGCCTACGGACTCCCATGGACTGTGGAAACTGTCATACGGCGCCGTCCCAGTCTGGCCGACCGGGCGTACCGTAGTCCCACGTGCGTGAGCGTGAGGACTGAGGAGTGTGGTGACCCACAATTGTGTTGAGTGCTCTTATGCCGTTGTTTTTTTATACATAGGCTTGGTTTGTACAAGACGCTGGCGAAGAGGTTGGCATCGTGGGACTCTCCTCGGTTGGATGGGCATTCTTACTTTTCCTCGGGTTTGGGGTGGTCATCTAAAAAACTCTTGCCTGTTTTGGTCAAGCAGGCCAAAACGACTTTTATTCATGTGTTGTGCACCGTGCTCATACCGCGATGAAATGTGCTTTTCAAAACATGTATGTGGAAGCCAGTTATATTTGGTGATTTTCGAAGAAATATAAATAAGGTGTGCATGTGCGCACGTGCATTACTTTACCTTCGTCGACTGAGAAAAATTCATACACGGTCAGCATCATGGTCACACAACAAAAGCAACAAACAGCCACACACCAAATTTCATTGCAATCGGTCAGTCCGTTCCCGAGATATGACGGAAGGGTGTGCACGTGCGCGCGTGAGCACGCGCAGAGCCACAACTTTCTCGGTGCACGGCACCCTACTAGCCGGTCTATAGCGATGTGCCAAATATGAGTGCAATCGGTCCAGCCGTTCTCGAGATCTGGAAGCGGCACCCTGCACGTGCGCACGTGCAATATGGGTCCCAACTGCCTTGTGCACGGCACCCTTCTAACTGGTCCCTAACCGTGTACCAAATTTGAGCACCATCGGTCCAGCCGTTCTCGAGATCTGGAAGCGGCACCCTGCACGTGCGCACGTGCAATATGGGTCCCAACTGCCTTGTGCACGGCACCCTTCTAACTGGTCCCTAACCGTGTACCAAATTTGAGCGCCATCGGTCCAGCCGTTCTCGAGATCTGGAAACGACCCCTGCCCTGCACGTGCGCACGTGCAGCAGCACCCCATCTCTGGCACATGGATATACATTGCCCGGTGGGTGCGTATTTGTATGCCAAGTTTCAGCGCAATCGGCCGAGTGGTTACCGAGATATTGCAATTGTTACAAAACTGACACTTCTTCGTATTGCACGTGGCACGTGCATAAGGGGTCACCCACATGCATCGGGAATAGTCCAATACTTGGTAAAATGAATGAAGCTACCCTACAAAAATTACCGCATGTACATCGGTCAAGTGGTTGCTGAGATATAAGCCTCGCAAAAGCGCTACTTATGCAAAATACCCTGAACAGTGAACACCCCTGACTTTTCACGTGGCACGTGCTACGGCAGTCACCTAGACGCATCATGAGAAGTCAATTATGGGGCAGAAGGGATGGGGCTACCGAACAAAAAAGACCGCAGGCTAATCGGCCCAGTGGTTGCTGAGATATCAGCCTCTCAAAAGTGTTACAGGCCGCCTTTAAAAATAAGAGGCCAAAGTGGCCTCTTATTTTTGGCGCCAAAAACGAGTGTCCAATCCAGGTAGTTCATGTTATCTATGTACTGTACTATGAGTCAGCATTTGAAGCACAGCATCTGCCACTGTGTCATCTCCTCAGGTGCTGTCAAAAAGATAAAAGAATCAATCAGAAATTCTCAGAACATGTTACCTAGAGTAGCACCACAAACAGTCCAGATGGGCCTTGCTGCCCCAATGTCGAATTCCACTCAGAAGGACACTGAGCTCTAATAGCAATCCAAATATTAAAAAGTCTTTCAGATCATGGTAATATCATACCTTTTTAATACGTTTTTATGGTGCTCTACCAATCAAAAAGCTGAAAACTTGATGCATACTAATGGCCATCGGTTTTATGTCAAGCTTGTGTAAGCAACTGTTTTTAGCTACAATGTATGTTCATTGTTCATTGCTCAACAATAGAAGTGCTGAGAAATGTGTAACTTAGCATACCTATCTCAGATTATCAAATGTCATAAAATATCAGTCTTGTCAGGTTAACCTTTATGACATTGACGTTTTTCAGGAGTCTGAAGGCCAGCTGTGTGCAGTGCAGTTAGTCATGTCAAGGTATCAGAGGGTGAGTAATGCTTAAATAATCTCCACCTCTGCTATTTCCTTTAATGACATTGCATAATTTACATTGCTTTGGCAACTGAGCAGCTGCAGTCTGTGCCGTCCTCTGACCGCTCTGTCCCTGACAACTGACCGCGGTGCCCGGCAGGTGTTACCGTTCTGTCCCTGACACGTGACCGCTCTTCCCGGCAGGTGTCGGAGCCGCCGGCAGTCGCCGAGGGCGGCTCGGGCGGCCCGCCGCCGCCGCCGCCGCCCGCCGAGGTGCCGGTCGAGCCGCCGCCGCCCTATGAGGCGGCGCAGGCGGCCGGGGGCGCGCCGCTGCCGCCCCCGCCCCCGCCGCCGCCCTCCCCGCCGCGCACTGCCGACAAGGCGGTGCGCTTCGAGCTGCCGCCGGCGTACGACGCGGTGACGAACCCGGCCAAACTGCCCAGCTACGACGAGGTGCAGCAGGAGAAGGCGCGCGAGGGCGGCCCGCTGCCGGTGAGAGACGCCCCTCTGACAGACGACCGCGGGGTGGGAGCATAGAACACTGGCACGCGGGGGTGGCCAGCTAACAGATGACAGACTAGGGGTGGGAGCATAGAACAGTGGCGCGCGAGGGCGGCCCGCTGCCGGTGAGAGACGCTCCCCCGGCTTGGGTGAGACGCCAGGGGTGATACTAGGGTTGGCCCTGGTGAGACGCCAGAAGTGAGACCAGGGTTGGGCCTTGTGAGAGACACTCTCCTGGGCCTTCCAGCATCTAAGTACCAGGAAGGGCATAGGACATAGGAACACGGAGAAAGGAGCAAGGAACACGGCCGGCCCGGCGTTTGCCAGCGAGAACCGCTCCTACGCCATGCTCGGCCGCCCTCTGAATGGCTGGGGATGGTAGGCTCGGTAGTGGGTTTGCTGCGCCCCAGGCTCATTTGCTATAGCTGAATTGAAGTGTGGCCAACCAGCTGGAGTCGTGGGGAAGTTGGGTGTCTAACTATGTCTAATTATCTAAGCTGGGAGTTATTAGCAACAAACAGTTAGTCTGTTTGTTGCTGGGATTTGTCATGTCGCACAGGGTGCAAGTGGATACAGCATGCATTTTGTGTGCCTCCCTAGTCCCTTACCGATATTGCCATATGTTTGACGTCTGTTACGGTCCGAAACGTTTTCATTTTCGGGGCTTTGTTAGCTATGTATGTCTTAGGCCAGATAGCCTGCAGTGTCATCAATCGTGCCTAGTCTTTGATCCGCTGTAGGCTCCCTTGCCACACCTTGATCTAACTCCCTCGGGTTCTTTCCAGCCGTCTGACCTGCTGTTGCTCCCCTAATTCCCCGGGCATGTCTCCCTACCCCAGCCGTCTTACCCGCTGTGGTTCTCTAACTCCCCGGGTATGTCTCCCTCCCCCAGCCGTCTGACCCGCTGTGGCTCTCTAACTCCCCGGGTATGTCTCCCTCCCCCAGCCGTCTGACCCGCTGTGGCTCTCTAACTCCCCGGGTATGTCTCCACCCTCAGCCGTCTGACCCGCTGTGGCTCTCTATGCTTCCCTCCCCCAGCCGTCTGACCCGCTGGCCGATGAGCTGGATGATGAGCGCGCCGGCGCGCTGCACCTGTGGCGCATCTCGTCGGTGGGCCTGGACCCGGAGGCGGCGGCGCTGCACGACCAGCAACTGCTCGGCACCGACCTCATGTTCTTCACCGCATTCCTCGGTGGGTGACAGAGCCGGCCGTGACTGGGCTCGTTAGAGCTCCGGGACGCTGGGTGGCCTTGTTAGACCTGAGTTTCCTTGCTAATATTTTGGATAGCCCGTAGCCACATGAGCACATTATGAAGGGGCGTTTAGTGTAGTGATCTGAATGAAATGTGATGAACACCAGGGAGTGATTTTGTTATCTCTTTCCTCCCTCTGCTAACCCCGCTCTATCCCTCTCCCCTCCCCTCCCGGCTACCCTGTAGTACCCCCTCCGTGCCCATACTTACGCTGCCCGGCTGTCCCGCACAGCGGCGTTCCTGTTCAACTGGATCGGCTTCCTGCTGCTGCTCTGTTTCTGCCACTCGGTGGCCGGCCGGTACGGCGCGCTGGCCGGCTTCGGCCTCTCGCTGGCCAAGTGGACCCTGATCGTCAAGAACTCGACCACGCTCGTCTCACACGACAACTCCTGGCTCTGGTGGCTCATCATGGCGTTCGGTGAGTGTCCACTGTCCAATCAAGTGGCCGGGTGTCCGACCAGGCTCAGTGGTTGGGATCAGATGGTAAGGGGCGTTGGGATCAGCTGTGAAGATGGGGTAGCTCGGGTTCAGTGGTTGGGGTCAGGTGAGGGGCGTTGGGATCGGCTGCGAGGACTGGTTAGGGAGAGATTGGTGGCCTGTGGAATCAGCGTTGAGCGGGGACTGGGGTGTTAGGGTATCCGTCGGCCGGTCAGGCTGATGGTAGGTAGAAAGAACTAGCTAGATGCTTACCGTGATTATTCATGGGACTGCGCCCACCACTGTCCTGGCCAGCTGATACTGAGTCTGTGTGCTATCGGTACCGGTCAGTGGCGCCATCTACGTACTGCGCTGGGTCGCCGCCGCCCGCTATACCAGCTCGTGTATCACTCTGTCTAGTGACACCGCTCCCCTTTCCGCAGGTCTGGTCATCTCGGTGCGCGCCATCCTGCAGTACCTGTACATCAAGCGCGAGTGGCGCCAGCTGCCCACCTCGGCCCGCCAGAGGCTCATCTTCTTCTACTAGGCGCCCCCGGCAGGCGGTCGGCAGTGTTTCGCCGCTCGGCAGGCGGCCGGAGGGTGAGGATTAGTCCGGCAGGTGGCGCTGTAGCACCCACCGGCCGGGAGCCGCGCTGCCGCGGACGAGCCGCCGGCCGCACCAGATCCACTTATATAGCGCGCCGCGTCTGTGATCTAACGTCTGGTCGGCAGCCACTGCGCGCGCCAGCTAGCCGCGGCTCTATTTAGCCCCTGCGCGGTCCGTGCACAGTTCGGTGTAGCCTTGGGCCTGTCCCGTGTGTCAGCGGGAGCCGGGGGACAGGCGCTGGGGGCACCACTCGCTGCGTGTCGGTAGTCACCCGCTGAGCGCACTCCTTGGGGTCGCCTGTCCCTCCCAGTGCTGGTCAAAAGGCTGGACTGTGTAGTGGCCGGGGCCGCGGGTTAGGGGCGGCCCGGGGCCTGTATACTGCCCCCGGGCCGCGGGTTAGGGGCGGCCCGGGGCCTGTATACTGCCCCGGGTCGCGGGTAGGGTCGGGCCGGGTAGTTTACGTCGCTGACTGTTCGGTGTGATTGTGTTTAGGGGTTTAGGGCCGGCTGGTCGCCGCTAACACGGGGCTCGCGTCACACCACGTTCCAGAGCCCGATTCCAGCCGCAGCGGTAGTCAGTCCGAGCTGCAATCGAGTCGGGGCGTCCTGTACCGCCGGCACCGACTGTGCTTTCCATAGGCCGTGCGCGCGGAATTTTCAGAGGAGCTGAGCTTGCCAGCAGAACGGATAGATGGGCGCTGGAGAATCGGACTTAGATGATGCGGGATTTTAGAACGAGTCTAGTGGGTATACAATCAGTTTAATATGATGTTATTTTTGCTCACAACCAACACTACTATAGATGTTTGTATGGTATATATTATGGACGGAGTAGATAACTTTGTGTTTGAAATAATTGACGGATTTGTAAAGGTGGTCTCGTGGGCTGCGAATAACACACTCAGAAAAAATCAGAGTTCGAAACTTTAAAGGTAAATCTGCTTATGCTAGTTCAACGATTTGGTAGTATTTTGACAATGTCATCGTCACGTTTTATGTGCAATTTTAGTCCGGTTCAAAGGCTGCGGTGGTGATGTGTCTCCCTGCCCTGCTGCATTTCGTCTGGTGCTCGCTTTGACCAGCCAGAGTCGGATCACTGATGTAGGTTTTGACTTGCTGTTTCACTCCGGCCTCCGCCATTCTGAGATGTTTTTACTCGGTCGTACAGACGTGTTATCGCCCTGTGGCGGCGTCTTCCTTCGGTTTCTCCCGTTTTTGTGCGCTATATTGTGGCGATATGCGCCACCGTCACCGCTCTGCTCGCCCTTCTGAGGCTGGAGAGAGCACCATCGTCGTCGCACCATGCTAGCCTACCACCACCCGAGTCGCATCGGTGTCCTAGATAAGGCGTATCTTAGTCGGAAAATACACACGGAAACGGGCCTGCTGCGTGTGCGGGAGATGGGCGGCGGGTACTGCGCTGCCTGCGGTCGGCCGGTGGGGTGCGATCACTGACGGGAGAGGGGGAGACGCAGAGCAACTGGTGGGCTTACCAATATATCACCAGTTACTCATCTGACATCTCCCGTCTATACATGGTGCAATGCACGTGCATTGAGCGCTGTGAATACGGCGGAAATGGTGTTAAATGGAAAGTAAAATAGAATAGTAATACTAGTAATTTGGTATCGTTCAGCCGGCTACCCCGCAATGCACTCCTCCCGGACGGCGAGAGGCCGGGAGGAAAACTGCACTCCTCCCAGTGGTTATCGTATGTTGTCGGTCGTTCGGAAATCATAAAACAAAAGACCAACGGTCCTCACCTACAAACCCCGCTGTCATTGACAGCGCCCCAGTGCCTTCGAGCAGGCCATCCCTCATCCATGCTGAAACCAGCGCGGCGTTCGAGCGATGCGGCACAGTATACCTTCAGGCGTTTTCACTAGCGCCCTCTATGTATGGGCGAATATAAAACGGATAGTCAAAAGTAACGACTACCAGTAGAAAGCAGTACCTACCCATGCCTTGACACTTTCAGAAGCAAATCGCGTTTGACAAAACCGGAATGAGACCCTATTGATAACTGAGTGACAGGCTTTTAATTAACCCTCGCCGGACCTATTGGCTCTCTACATACGCGCCGGCCGAGGGGGGGGGGGGAGGGCGGGTACGATCACCCCGCCGTTTCGCCCCTGGTGGAGCTAGCGCGTCGCGGAAAAAACGAGCGTGTGCGCCGTTACGAGACGCAGAGATTGGTGCCCGATTTTAAGGTCCTAGGTCAACCGGTGACCTCTGAGGTCAGGTCAAATGCCCCAAGGTACGGTTCAGTTTTTGGTGAATGACTTCGCAAAAAACGGCCGCAGAGCCGCGATTTTGGCAGCATCGTGTTCGCCTCGCTCAGGCGCGTCGAATGATATACTTTTTGTTCGGGTCAGGTCAACTTAGGGTGTTGACCTCAGGTCAAGGTCAGGTCAGCACCCCCAGGTCATGAAGTTGGTCGAAAGAGGTCATATCGCATATCTTTCGATTCGGCAGGTCTTCCTGAGTCCATTGGTAGCTTTCCCGACTCGCTAGCTCAATTTGGTCAAGAGTTATTGACGAAAAACTAATATGGCCTTGATGACGTCATAAATGACGTCACGCAAGGTCATCATTGCAAAAGTGACGCATCTAACCTTGCAAGGAGTGCATCAAATCACGATTCTGCGTGCTTGAGATAGTTGGAGATCGTTCCCGGCGCCAGAATAGCAGTTTGCATTTTTCCCCATTGACTTATAATGGTGAGGTCACGAAGATGACCTGATCTAATATGACCTTTAGGAAAAATCCGAGATATACAAGTTATGAGACTCATAATGGATACTAGATCCTGTAAGTTTCATTTCCCTGTGACATCTCCTATGGCAGTGAGGGCGTTGCGAAGTTGCGACATCTGAAGACCGTGCAGAGGTTCACTTAGGACGTCATAGGTCAGTGACCTGATCTGACCCCAAAATGCGGTTGGTGTCAAAAGATCCGGCTTGAATCATAGGTCAGGTATGCCGAGTTTCAGCTCTCTATCGCTAGCGTGTTCGGAGCTATCGCGAAAAAAAAAACCCTATGGGGGGGGGGGCGGCACCCGCCCCCCCCCCCTCGGCCGGCGAGGGTTAAAGGGTTTACGCTATGTCGACATGGGCATAGGTATTACCTACGCCAGGATAAGTTCTCATCTAAGCAAAAGTCGTTATAGGTAGGTACATACCTAAACCTGCATGCCCGCGTCAGTAAAATATACATCGGTGTCATGTCACTGATTCTGTTGAATTAGAGATAGGATTATTACCCCGGCTTCCCCTAAAAGCCGGGGTAATTTCCCCGGCTTCCCCTAAAATAAAATAGGCACTCGTCGATAGTAATAAAATAGGCCTACGTGCAGACTCGTCCATTGCATCCTGCCGTCCATTGGAAGGGTTGGCCGGCCCCTCCCTCAGCCCTTCCGCGGCTCCCATTGGTGGCTGCCGAGCAGCGCAGCTGTGGGGGCGGAGTGCACGCACACCCCGCTCCTCCCCGGGCCCTGCGGGGGCGGAGTGTACGCACCACCCCGCTCCTCCTCGGGTCCTGCGGGGGCGGACCTCTCGCTCACCCCGGAGCAGACGCACACCCCGCTCCTCCCCGGGCCCTGCGGGGGCGTGGCGGCAGGCGCTGCGGTCGGAGGGGCCGGCAGAGGTAGGTCCAGGGGCACACGGGCCGCACTATCAGCCTGTGAGTCGGTACCGTTGACACAGGTGCTGCCTGCAGCGTCCGCGGAGCACCCGCAGAGCTGCGTGGTCCGTGCAGGGTGTCGGGACGGCCGCCGTCTGCCCTGGGAAGGCACAGGTGTGGGCTGCCGGGGCGCTGGGGCCGCCGGCGCTCTATCTGCACCCCCGGGCGGCTCGCCGGAAGGGTGGAGGCGAAAATAGCCGGAAACGGTGCCCCGACGGCCTGCTGCCGCTGACGCCGCTGGCTAATCGACTATAAATTAGTCGGTTATTATAGAACGGGCTGACTAGGGGTGCCAGCTGCTATATATGCCAGAACAGCTCGGAAGCGCCGATAGGTGTGACAGGCTACACTTTTGGGTGCTACCTGTCACAGTTTAATCAGGACTTAATAGTCTTATATGGGGTAAAGACAAATCGATTCGGATGTGATCCAAACTGTTCATTTTGTAATGAACAGGATGTGCTAGGAACAACGATTTCCTTCGAAACCACCCAACCATGTTACCATTATCACTTGGCAATTGGCATGTTTAAGCTACAAGTGCGCTATATGGTTTCCTATAGGAAAGAGAGCTGCTAAGACAATAACCGCAACTCGCAAGTGACATTCTTCTATCAACTGGAGCTATCGAACTTTGGCCCATCCTGACCTTCAAAAACCGCCGTCCAGCCACAGCCTTTACGTTAGCGTCTGCGCGATCCCGCCCAGCCGATACACAATGGGTTCGACGATTGTCTAATGACGGACGCGATGACAACCCCAGCCGGCCGGTGACGGCGGATGACGCGTCCCCGGCGCCGACCCCGGGCACAGCACGGCGGGCGGGTAATAATGACGTAACCACCGAGCACAGCTGGGGGCCCGACCGCGGCGGCTGAGGCGCTCCGAGTCGTCATTAGTCGCCGATTACAGACATCGAGTCGAACGGGTTCAGCGACGGACGGCCGCTTCCGCTATCGCAGGACTGCCGCCGGCCGAGACATGGGAAAAGGATGCCGGTTGGGCGTGATGGACGGTTTTAGCAACGGTCCGTCACTCCACTCATGCTTTCCGGCTGTTCGATCAGCGGACTGCACGGCTGTGCGGTCGAGGAAGGATTTCAAAAGCGCTAGTGCTGCGTGTGCGCTGTGTGTGGGAGATTCTCCATGTTTCTCCCCCTAGATCTGCCAGTGCAGCTAGTAGTTCACTCCCCCGAAAAATTATAATGGAATCGGTACGAAGTTGTTGTATATGTTGTTATTCAGCTGGGACATAATTAATGTGTAAAAACGTTGTTTTGACACCAGCTATATAGTTTTATTGGGAGCTTTCGAGAGCACTTCGGCTCCCTTCTTCAGCCAAGTCAAACAAACACTAAAATACAGTAATACAAAACATTAACATGTCGTTCGGTTCGAGGTCAAAATCGTAGGTATAGCTCAAGAAATGAGTGCGCCACATTTTAAGTACAATTGTCACATAGTTTCATTAATTTTTTGAAAATACACACATCACATAATCGACCAGCAACCTCTTTACAAAGAAACACCTAAAAGCACACACCCACACACCGCTAAGACTTAAATCACACGATACACCTCATTCATTGGCACCCCTGGTCTCGTGTTCATAAGAGTCGATTCGTTCGTTTTCGCTATAAATATGCCCTCTTTATCTTTCGTTTTCTCCAGTTCGTTTCATATGACAGAATTTTGACCTCCTCCCATTTAATACTGTGCCCCGTCTCCAAAACATGTTTCGAGATACCCGAGTGGTTGTCATCCCCATTCCTGATCGCCCTCTTGTGTTCGCTTTCTCTCGTCTTTATGCTTCTCCCTGTCTCACCTATGTAAACTTTTTCACACATGCACTCATATTGGTAGACTACGCCCGCATTAGATATTTTTTCTCGTTTGTCCTTTGGCTTTACTAACATACTCCGTAGGTTCCTCCCCGGTTTGTTTGCGACCTTTGCATATGGTGCCAAAGCCCTTGTCACCCTTTCAGTGACCCTTTGCACGTAGGGTAGAACCACCACTGGCTTACGCTCCTCCCCTTGGTCCTCTTGTGTCCTAGCCCTCCCCGCTAGCATCTTTCTGCGAGTCCTGTTTACGAACCGTTTCGGGTAATTGTTTGCTCCCAACGTCCGGTCAATGTGGCTGGTCTCCCGTGCCCTCCCTGTCTCATCCGAAGGGAAAGAGTCTCCCCTCCTCACCAGAGATCGGACGACAGACTCCTTGTGTTGGACACTGTGATGGGACATAAAATCTAAATACTTGTCCGTGTCTTAAGACGGCAGTCTTTCGGAAAGCGACGCACACGGACAAGTATTTAGATTTTATGTCCCATCACAGTGTCCAACACAAGGAGTCTGTCGTCCGATCTCTGGTGAGGAGGGGAGACTCTTTCCCTTCGGATGAGACAGGGAGGGCACGGGAGACCAGCCACATTGACCGGACGTTGGGAGCAAACAATTACCCGAAACGGTTCGTAAACAGGACTCGCAGAAAGATGCTAGCGGGGAGGGCTAGGACACAAGAGGACCAAGGGGAGGAGCGTAAGCCAGTGGTGGTTCTACCCTACGTGCAAGGGGTCACTGAAAGGGTGACAAGGGCTTTGGCACCATATGCAAAGGTCGCAAACAAACCGGGGAGGAACCTACGGAGTATGTTAGTAAAGCCAAAGGACAAACGAGAAAAAATATCTAATGCGGGCGTAGTCTACCAATATGAGTGCATGTGTGAAAAAGTTTACATAGGTGAGACAGGGAGAAGCATAAAGACGAGAGAAAGCGAACACAAGAGGGCGATCAGGAATGGGGATGACAACCACTCGGGTATCTCGAAACATGTTTTGGAGACGGGGCACAGTATGAAATGGGAGGAGGTCAAAATTCTGTCATATGAAACGAACTGGAGAAAACGAAAGATAAAGAGGGCATATTTATAGCGAAAACGAACGAATCGACTCTTATGAACACGAGACCAGGGGTGCCAATGAATGAGGTGTATCGTGTGATTTAAGTCTTAGCGGTGTGTGGGTGTGTGCTTTTAGGTGTTTCTTTGTAAAGAGGTTGCTGGTCGATTATGTGATGTGTGTATTTTCAAAAAATTAATGAAACTATGTGACAATTGTACTTAAAATGTGGCGCACTCATTTCTTGAGCTATACCTACGATTTTGACCTCGAACCGAACGACATGTTAATGTTTTGTATTACTGTATTTTAGTGTTTGTTTGACTTGGCTGAAGAAGGGAGCCGAAGTGCTCTCGAAAGCTCCCAATAAAACTATATAGCTGGTGTCAAAACAACGTTTTTACACACGAATCGGTACGAACCCCACTATACGTGCTAGAACCTTACCCGACCTATAAAATAAATACAAAGCCCCGCTTCCCCCATTTCTGTCGCTGAATTCCCAGCAGTCCCACGGCACGCACACGCGCAGCCTTGGACGGCCGGGCCCGAAATAGTACCAGTCCGGTCCCGGGCCGCGCCAGGAGGGTCGGTGACCGGCCCGGCACGCACGCACACCCGTCACCGGTGCGTGTGCGTAGCCGCGCGCTGCCAATCGGGCCATGGGGTCAGCGGCCGGCGGAGCGGGAGAGGAGAGGAAAGGACGGCAGGGCCGGAGAGCCGGCGCCCGGCGGCTGGCCGGGGGAGCTGGGAACGAGAAGCCGTCCGTGTGGAAACGAGGACAGGTGCCACGTCAGACGCATTCCGACGTGCCATGTGCTGACAGAGTGGCAATTTTACCTGATTTAGAGGCGTGCTCGGCGGTAACACGATCGCCAATAGTGTTCAGCTGAGACTTGACAAAAGCTTACTTATAGCTAGCTAAAAAGACATATTACCTACCTGTTGTTTGCATTAACATGAGTCCGCCTAAGCATTGCCAGAAAGTACTTCCATCACTGTGACCTGGTCACCTGTAGCGTAAGACTCTCGAGTCGGCGCTCACATGTGCCGTGTCGACTAAACGCCTTCTTTTCTGCCTTTCCATCCGTTCGGAACAGAGATTCCCTCAGTATTTGGTACGTGTATTCGTTGGAACCGCTCAGGTTTTGGTTAAGCGAGGTTATTGTGGTATAATAAACACATGCGACCGTGTTCCGGCAGCTTATCCAACCGGAGCGGAAAACGCATACCTTTCAACTAGCCATACCGTGATGCCGTGGGTTCAGCATGCATCACCGACTGGCCTGACGAGAAATCCCTCCTAAATATTCACCAGAACTATTAACAGTACACAACCACGTTAAAATACCCGTAAGTTATGACTTCAGTTCGGAGCTGTTGACTCTAAAACTGGCTTCATTTGTACGTAGTACAACCCTTTACGGGATTTATAGAGCTAACCCCTGACGCCATCCAATATCTGCACATCGGCGTTGTCTTTCTCACGAAACTTGAAGATATCAACCGGGTGACGCTCGACCTCGGCTGCTCTCCAGTGGGGACCCCCGTCCGGGAGTCCGCGGCCCCGCTCGCGCCTGCAGTCCCCCAGCTCCAGCGCCGTGAGCGGTGGAGGCGCCCGGTGCCCCCGGGCGGTGTGCTCGCGGTCCCTCGGCCGCTCAGCCGCCGGCGGTGACCCCGACACGGTCAGCATCTGCAGCAGCGCACTGCCCGTCTCCTCGCTCTTCCTCCGCCGGTCCTCCGTCCTCTGACCGTCCTCCGTCCTCCGACGGTCCTCCTCCGCTGTGTGAGGAGCGCCGGAGGTCTGCTGAGGAGCCCACAGCGGCACCAGCGGCGGCAGCGTCCGCCGGTCCCGCCCCGGCGGCCCGGGCGCCTCCACCGGCCTGTGCCGGGCGTCCTCGACTTCAGCCACGCTCTCCCGCTCTCCCTCGCCGGAGCTCGGCTGGTCGAGCTGACTGACTCGCCGCAGCGGGACGGCACTGCTCTCCTCCGAGATACCCCGGCCGGTGGTCTGCGACAGATCCCACGGAGTGCGGGGAGGCTCCGCCTGCGTCTGTCTACGTCGCTTCCGTCTCCTAGCGCCGGTCGGGGCCGTCGGAGCTGGGGAGAGGGCCGGCCGCAGCCACCCCCGCTCGGAAGACATCATCACCTGCTGGACGGGCTGGTCGTGGCGCGGTGGCGGCCAGACGACCGAGGGCAGGTCCTGTGAGGAGGTGGACGGCCTCCGGCTGCCCTCCGACTCGGATCGGGAGTCGTAGCGCTGCTGTAAGCCCCACGGCGGGACGGACTCGCCGCCGACCTGCCCCGCTCCCGGTGCGTCTCCGGGACCCCCGGAGCCGGACAGCCACCGGAGGCCGGGCGGGGCCATCCCGGACGGCCGGCGGCCGGCGGCCGACACGCTGAGGTCCTCCGGCTCCGTCTGACTGGGACCGGGTGGCAGCGGCCTCAGTCCCGTCTGACTGGGCCCGGCCGGGAGCGGCCTCAGTCCCGTCTGACTGGGACCGGCTGGCAGCGGCCTCAGTCCCGTCTGACTGGGGCCGGCCGGGAGAGGCCTCAGTCCCGTCTCCAGACTGAAGGAGAACCCGGCCACCGGAGCGGACCCCGGGCCCGTCACCGGCTCCAGCTGCGGCTCCGTCTTCACCGCCGGCTCCAGCTCCGTTTTCAGGGCTGCCAGCGTGGCCAGCGCCGCCGCCGTGGCGGGCCCGTCGTCCTCCCGTTCCGCTGGTGTCTGCCCGGCCGCAGTCGCGGCGGGACAGCGGTGCAGCAGCAGCTGCTGCCGCCGGCGGAACTGGGCGCCGCAGTCGGAGCAGGCGAACGGCCGCCGGCCGGTGTGCGTCATCTCGTGGGTGCGCAGCTGGTTACTGTCGGAGAAGCGGCCCGGGCAGTGGCGGCACGAGTAGGGCCGCTCGCCCGTGTGCACGCGCAGGTGACGCCGCAGGTTGGCCACCTGAACGAACCGGCGCGCGCAATGCACGCACTGGTACGGCCGCTCGCCCGTGTGCAGCCGCATGTGCGTCTTGAGATGGTGGTCGCGCGTGAACCTCTTCTGACACTCAGGGCACTGGAACGGCTTCTCTCCGGTGTGGGTGCGCACGTGGTTCTGCAGCACGTGCTTGTAGCCGAAGCTGCGGCCGCAGAGGGGGCAGGCGAAGATTTTGGCGCGCGGGGCGGTCCTGCGCGCGGGTCGGGCCGGCGGGGAGCCGTCGGAGCGCGGCGGGGAGCCGCTGCTGGCGGTGGGGGAGCAGCTGCCGCCGCCGGGCGCCGCCGCCGCCTCCGGCAGGCCGCCGGCCACCAGGCGCGCCCAGGCCAGCAGCGCGCGCTGGTACTGCAGCTGGCTGGCGTGCTGGGCGCTGAGCTGGGCCAGCAGCGCCGCCTGCAGGCCAGCCGGGCTCAGCAGACCCCCCGGCGGCCCCGGCGGCCCCGGCGGGGACCGGGACGGCGGGCTGATGAGCGGCGGCGGCCGGCCGGCAGCCGGCTCCAGCGGCGGCCACCTGCCGAGCACGGGCGCCGGCCAGGGTCATTACACACCACTCAGGTCGGGAGGCAGGCACAGGTCGGTACACAGGCTAGATTACAGGTCAGGGTACAGTTCAGAACACAGGTCAAGTTACAGGTCGGGGTGCCTACAGGCCAGGGTACAGGCCAGGGTGCATGTCAGTGCTCAGGTCAGGGTGCCGGTCAGCAGGGCACATGCAGCCTTAGACGGTTTACGATAACGTTCATCAGACTGTCATCGTTAGGAGCCTAATTGGGTAGCATTGGTTTTAAATAATACCTTAGCATCAATTCAGGAGCCAGGAAGGTCATGAGCTGAGCTAGTAGCCGGCGTCTTATATTAACTGAGCAATGAGCATGAAGACAAGTCATGAGGGGACGTTCTCATTTTGACCACGCTCAAGTGTTACAGGGCCCCGCCCGGCGCCGGACAATTAATATCAGCGATCCGGAACGAATAATTAGGCACCTATATCGTAGCAGAGGAAGAACATCTGGTCCTCTCATCCTCAACATAGAAAATGAAAGTGCCCAGTCATCCCGTGTAGGTAGCTACTGGCGAGTCCCAATAGCCACATTTGCCGTTTTATATCGGTCTTCCTTCCGCCATTTTGTGATCCCTGAGCACTATGAGCAGGGCGCAGTGCCAGTTGATCCCTGATAGTGTGCGCTACTCGCCACTCACTGGTATCAGCGCTATATGGCTCCGGCCTCCCGTAGCTCCGGCCCCAAACCGGCGCGGCGCCTCGCTCGGGCCGTGCAAACAGTTCGTGAGAGGAGAGGCCCATACTCCTCTCCAGAGGAGGCTGCGTGTTATCGGCATCGCCGGCGAGATAGAGTGGCTGCGTCTGTTCCCCGCGACTCCCCCCCCCCCCCCCCTACTCCCAAGGCTTAGCTTAGCGGCACCGGTAACCTGCTGGGGCCAGCGTGCAGGGCGCACAATAGGTAGGTACCCGAGGCAGTCCTGGACCCCTGTGTGCCCTAAACACACAACTACACACACAGTCCCGGGATGTCACGGACCACGTTACGCAGCCGCTAGCCGGTCCCAGCCGCATAGACCCGGGAACAGGGGGGGGGGGGCAGCGGGGGCGCTTGCCCCCCCCAACTTGGGAGCCGGGGGGGCGGCGCCCCCTCAACATTGAGGCAGCGAGAAAGGATTTTTCCTCCCTCTTCCGCACTTCTTTCCTTGTTGTTTCCTTCCTATGTATGTACATCTAAACATCAACACACGGCATTTTCTTTGCCATCTGAATGGTTTCTGCTGATTGGCACAGTATCGATTTGACAACATCTGCTATTGTCATCCCGCTTTGGTTTGAGCCTGACCTTGGCCATAAGTTTGGCAGAGCAGATTTTATAATGGACCATTTTGAGTCAACTTTGAGAGATACATGACGTACATACAACGGTGGTAAAATCGTTGCTATATGTATATCACAGTTTACCCGCTCCGGGTGTGAGGGAGGGGTGTAGGGCAATGAGTGCACTGACGTGGCGCCCTCGGAAGGCCGGTATGGGATTAAAGCTCAGTGACACTAAGGGCTTGTGTGGTGCCTTCAGTTATCGGTAGCACCCTCAGAATAACCGGCGCAGGGCCCTCAGAGCCGCCGGTAAGGGGCCTTTAGAGTTTAGAGGCACTGGTGTGGGGCCGTCATGCAGGTGCCGGTGTGGGCACTCAGAGGAGCTAGTGTGATTCTCTCAGAGGCGCCGGTGAGGGTCCTTACAGGCGTTGCTGTAGGTCCTCATAGACGCTGGTGTGGAGCCGTTACAGACGGGTGTGGGGCCTTTAGAGCTGCTGACGCGAGCTCTCTACAAGCCGGCAGGGGGTCTCAGTGACCGGCAAGGGGCCCTTTAGGCCGACAGAAGAAGTCCTGTGGGGTCCTTAGAGACCGGCATCATGGTACTGTCAGACGCCGGTGGGGCCCTCAGTCACCGGCGGTGTGGGGCCCTCAAAAGTCACCAGTGGATGGCCTTTAGATACGCAGGTGTTGGTTGGGTCCTCGGAGCCGCCGATATAGGGCTTTTAGGCACTGGTGTAGGCACTCAGAGTTGGGGGTGTGAAACCCTCAGAGACACCGATATGCAGGGGCGGATCCAGAAAATCTCCAAGGGAGGGGCCATTAGAAACCAGGAGGCCCCCCCATAATCCCACCTGTTGGAGGCCCCATCTTCCCACTTGTTGGGCCCCCCCCCAAAAAAAACTGCGTCTATTGAGCTTATCTAGCTGTTCAGTCAACATCTCAACATCTGTGCAGGCTTGGAGGCCCTCTGTGCAGGTTAGGAGGCCCTGTAAAAGTGGTCATCTCTGTGAGTATAAGAGACCTCCAAGTTATGAAAAGCTTTACCAATCTTCTAACAAAGAAGTCTTCTCAGCTAGTCTTCTAAGAAATAACTAAGTGGGTAGGTTAAAAAAAAACTCATCGGATTTCGGCCACTTTATTTTCAGGAGGCCCCCTTTTCAGCATTTTAACTTTTTAACTTTTTATTTTATTTTTGAAAAAAATCGGCCAAGGGGGGGCCATGGCCCCCATGGCCCCTCCCTTGTATCCGCGCCTGCCGATATGGCCGTGGGCCATCATAGGCGCCGATGAGGGCCCCACAGTTACCGTTATGGGGCCCTAAGAAAAAAGTGCGGGACCATCACAGGCGGGAAATGCCCCTAAAAGTGGCTCCTCATAGGCCGGTAAGAACTCTCAAGAGGCCAGTAACGGGCCTTTGGAGACCACCGAGGGGCCTTAAAATCCATAAGAGGCCCTCAGAAGCCGGCGTGGGGCCCTTATGGAGATCTTAGTGTGGCTATTTGGGGCCCATGAGGTACTCTTACGAGTCCCATGAGGCCATTCTAAGTCAAAATATGACAATCGTTAGCCCTCAGCGGTCAAATGGCGCCGCAGGGCCCCTCAGACCCGAGGGTCCCTTTGAACCCGATGGGGGGGGGGGGGGGTACGTGTCCCCTTAGACCCCTAGCTATACGCCACTGTTTCATATGCATCATGTCAGGTATTTTAGGCTCGCCCCCCAACTTGAAAATCGTTCCCGGGCCCCTGCCCAGCCGGGTCAGTGTTCAGTTGGGCACACATTGACTTTGGCCCGGGCCGGCCGCCATCACGATAACCCTCTCAGCATTGGCGGGCGCCGGCCGCGGCGCCGCCCCCCGCCGCCGGGCGCCAGCCAATGACCGCTCAACCCTTTACCGCCGGCGGCCAATGACGGGCCGCCGCGCAGGCTGGGGAGGGGAGGGAGGAGAGGGAGTGCTACTGCTCACACAGGGCGCGGGGGCAGAACCTCGTCACTGCCGGGCCATCCGGCGGCCGGCAGTCCACAGACGACATATCTCACACCGTGAGCATTGGAGGTGCCGGAACTATCCCTATCGGCGGGGTGACTGTAATCAGGCACCCGCTGCAGAGTGCACAGTGTACACGGCCTACCCCACGCGATGTGGATTGCGGATTGTGCAACTGTCTTATGGTAACTGAGAACTGAGGAGGGTATCCCACTTCCGGGCAGACGCAGCACACTTCGGCAGCTGTCTCGTCTCCCAGTGTCGGCCGCCGGAGGTCGGGCAGACAGACAGACAGACCGACAGACAGATAGACAGACGGACAGACCGGCTGACCCGGTCGGAGACGGCGGGACTGCCACCCCCCCCCCCCTCCCCCCGGACCCACCGACCGTCCGGGATCAGTTGCGACCCGGCCAACGACGTGGAAACGATCCAACCTCCAACGGGGCTGACCAGGCTCAACCATGCGAGCCCTAAGTCTCTGTTATAGATGTGTTCAGAATCGATGTGCGTTATAATGTTATTTGAGTTTACCTACTCTGGGACTGGGGAATGGGAAAGCCAATCGAGTGCCTAGCGTGACTAGGCACATTCGATTCCGGCTATGATATCGCCGTACCTGGCAGCGTCGCTATCCATCGGGTTTTTGTCCATCTGATATCAGCTTCATCTGAAAACAGAGAAATATCAATGCAGGTAACTGTGGTCTTAAATCGCTCTTTGTCTCATAGACGGACTTACTCATAAACAACAATACTCCCCAGATAATAAGGATGCCGGGTAAATAACGTCTGCGTTAAGCGTCCAATCGGTGTCTGGTTAATTGGTTATCCGCCTGTCGACTAATCACCCCCTGTGATATCACCTCTATACCGGCGGCGCGGGGTGACAGGTCAGGTGTGGGGTGTCACACCGCTGTCACCGCTCCGTGACACTGTGTCAGGTGGCAGCTGTGGGTGGCACCCGCCGCCGCCGCCCGGCGGGGACGCTGCAGGACGGCGGCGCCCCGGCCACCCTCCCGCGCCCTGTGGCCGATAGCGGGCCGCCACCGGCCGCTATCTGACTGAAACTCGAGCCGAGCACGCCGCACGCCGCTCGGGTACGAGTGTCGGAGATGAATCGACCTCTGGCCACGCGGCGGGACGCTGCAGCCTGCGGCGCGCCGGTCAAACATCCTGCCTTATCGGCGCGCCGCCGGCCGTTTTTGCCGACCTTGTGGTGACGGTACGGCGGCCCGGCGTCCCCAGCCCCGCCGCTCGGCTCTGCGTCTGGCCGCGCACAAAAGCCGCTGACTCAGGTGGGAGCGAGTCCAGCTCACCGGACGTGCGCGTATGACGTCACCGGGGCAGGGGAGGCGACTCACCTCGTTCGCGCAGCCCAGTCGGCGATACCAGGGTGGAATTCCACTCGCACGGCGCCGCAGCCCAGTTTCACGTGAAACGGGACCTCCCTCGCGTGGTACTTACACACAGTCATTGACCGAGAATACCAATGAGGTAAGGCATGGGAGGCTGACTCGCAAAACGCTCGACGGCTGAAGCTTTTCTATAGTGCATACTTAAAGTTCCTGACTCCTGTGTGTTATGAATTAGCTCATCGGCTCATACATATTGCTATTAGCATATGTAAATAATGCACATCATATGTCTCTGATATGACCGTGTTTTCATATGATGTTTCCAGCACTATCTCCGGTCACAACGTTCACGACTGCCATTTTTCCTTCCGGTTTCCTTCTGCATAAACTGTATCTGAGGTAGAGGTTCCGTCGATTCAGTCAGCGGCGGTTTTGTGGTTCCCGTCGCTGGCCGGCGGTTCTCCCTCCCCGACCCTCACGATACCCCGGCGGGAACCTGTGACTCCCCTCGG